GGGCAGGACCGCTCGTCAGCTGTGCAAAAGCAGACCAGGAGTTTACTTGGACCATCCCTTTGACGCAGCGCCCCTCTCCCCATCACGGACTCTCACTTTGGAGCCCTCACCCTCCCCTCCCTGTGTCCCCCCAGGCCTCATCCCCGGATCCTCACAGGGCTTACTGCGGTAGGACAGAGGGTGCCCCAGATCTGTGGAAGTGGACGATTTGCCATTTGCCATCCCGGCGGTGCCAGATGCGGGTCTCTTCGGACTGCGCGGTGCGGGGGATCCCTCCCGCGTCCACGTACTGCGTGATGCGGATGTAGGCGATGCAGGCGGACTCATCTCCCATCAGGTGGATGTGGGGGTTCAGGATCGTCGTGTGCACGGGCTTGCTGTTCCGGGACCACACTGAGGAGGGGACAAGTACAAGTGGCTTTAGGCAGGAGAAGGAAGTTGGGTGGCTCTTGCCCAGCCATGTGGGAAGGGGAGGTGCTCGCATTAGGCTATCTGCTCAGAAGGGATGAGTAAAAGCTGCACGGGTGGGTTCAGGTTCTGCCTAGAAAGCAGCTAACCAAACAACTCATCTGCATGCAGCCCAGACCCAGATAACCTAACAGGCTTGATTCACCTCCTGCTGGGATCTCCAAGATCAGCCAGAGGTGCTCCCAAAGCCACCCTTACCCTCCTCTCTCCAACAAGCTGGTGGAGGTCAAGACACAGCCGGGCCCATGGGAGGTTGGGAGGGGTCCCTCAGGAGGCAAGGGGGCTGCTTACGGTTTTCAAAGTAGAATCGGTGGAAATCCAGGCCTTCCACAAGGTTGCCCAGAGCCTCGGGCTCAAAGGCAGTCATCCCAGGGTCACACATCTTCCTGGGGAGGCGAGAAGGGGAGAGAAAATGCAGGGGTTATCTCACTGCTTCTGGCATGAGAGCAGGCAAAAACCAAACAGCTCGTGATTGGGGTGACTCCCTCAGCCTGCGACTGAGGAGCCTCTGCACTAGCAAGTAATTCAAGCAGAAATCTGACCTCGTCCCCACACTGTGAATGAAGCCCACCCCACCTTGCTTCCAGCCCACTGACTGTAGCCGGGACTCCAGCGAGACAGGCTGAATTCTCCATCAGTCACTATCTCCAATTAAACCTCCAAAAACACCACCGTCTTCTTTGTAAGAAAGAAAAACAGCAGGTCAAAACTTGTATTCTCTGCTCTGTATCAAAACATCCCTGCTGTGATTTTCTGGGGCAATGATGAAGACCTGCACTCGCTCAGGCACACTAATTAAATAGGCCCTGGACACAGAAGAGGTGTACTCTGAAGAACATCAGCTCAGTGAGTAGAAAGCAGTTACGCTTCCAAGCAGCCTGCAGCAATCTGGATATAACGGATACTATGGATAAAATGTTGTTTCTTCCACCACAAACCATGTTTACAGTTATTCATCTTTCTGCAAACCAGAAAATGGGTTCATCCATGATAAGGAGACCAGAGAGCTTTGGTCAGCTTAGTGTGAGAGAAGCATCAGGTTTGGAAACGATGCTCTCTGTTTCTCTGGGATGGTCTCCGTGCCCCACCACCACGTCAAGCTGGTCGCCCTCCCCTGGGCAGCAATAAAACCTCCTTGCCCACCTTGTCATGGTGAGAGCACACGCTCCGGGAGGCTGAGCCCCCACCCCAGCCCAAACCCACGCTGGGCACACTCACGTGTAGGACTCAAAGTCGCCATTGCTTATTGCTTCGATAAGCTGCTCTGTGACTTTAATGATTTCTTGCTTCCGTACTGTTGGTTTAAAGAGAAAAAGAAAATAAAAGGAGAAAAACAAACTAGAAGTGCTGGTGTTGAAATATTGGTGAGGCAGGGTTTGATCATTAGAAAGAGACCAGAGGACATTGAGGGACACTGGAAACTGCCCAGGGAAAACGCAGGAGAGCGACTTGGGAGAGAGATGTGGGGGAAGGCTCTTCACCCCCCAAGAAGAAAGACCTCCAAAATCAGAGCAAAACTGAAAAACCCTGTATTATCATAAAGAGCAAAATGATAAATCACTGGGTGGTGAGCTGCCCTTGGACTACAAGTTGGCATAGGCTGGTCTTGGCTGCAAAGCCTTGCCAAGCTGGGACCTTCTACCCCATGAACTCATGGCAGGGACCAGCTGGACAAAGGATGCTCTCACCTCCCTCTGAGATGGAGGGAGAAGGTCTCAGCTGGGAGTAGGACAGGTGGGTGACGTGGGCAGCCACCTCGGGAGACACAAGGAGAGACCCTGTGAAGGTCACAGCACCATGGGGCTGCTGCCAGGGACCCCTGGCGCTGCTGGCTCAGCTGGGAAGGGACTGGGCTTGAAGAGTGGGTTTGGTTCCTTGGGATGCAGGAGGAGCTGTCAGAGGTATCCCCAGGCTTATTAAGGTGGCTCTGCTTCAAATGCAAATAGACATCCTCCTTGACTTTTTTTTTTTT